TTCGCCGAGCTCGCGCGCGCGCGCGCCTCTCCGGGAGCAGCTTCGTTTAACCGGCCGCCGCGTCGCCGTCGTCTTATCAATTAACAGCAATAAATTTGCGGGACCCGGGAATCCCGCTACCTCGGATTCTCTCGGCTCGCAGCGGGGAATCGGAGATCGATACGGCCGATTCGAGCCAAACGGAACCGAAGCGCGTCGCGTCGCGTCGCGTCGTGTGTCCGCCGCGTACTTTGTAGCGAAACGGACCGAGGTCCCGGCCATAAAACCGGCTTGTACGCTACATGAATACCCGTGTTCTTTATTTATGGGTCTTCACGAGCAAGTTCCTTTTGAGTGCTGGAGAGAAAGAGAGGAAAGAGAGAGAAAGAGCGTGACCGGACGACGCTCTGGCATTACGACAGACGGAGTCGCGGGGACTTTTCATCGATTTTTCTGCGCGACCCACGCTATACTAAAACGCTATTTTCTATATTCTTGCAGGACATTGTTTAAGAAAATTATGAATTGTATAAATATATATAAAATATAATATAATAATATAATGGTTTAATGATATAATATAATGATAATATAGTAATATAATAATAGAATAATAGAATAATAGAAAAATAGAGTAATAGAGTAATAGAGTAATAGAGTAGTAGAGTAATAGAGTAATAGAATAATAGAGTAATAGAGTAATAGAGTAAAATAGAGTAATAGAGTAATAGAGTAATAGAGTAATAGAGTAATAGAGTAGTAGAGTAGTAGAGTAGTAGAGTAATAGGGTAATAGGGTAATAGAGTAATAGAGTAATAGAGTATTAGAGTAATAGAGTAATAGAGTAATAGAGTAATAGAGTAATAGAGTAGTAGAGTAGTAGAGTAGTAGAGTAATAGGGTAATAGGGTAATAGAGTAATAGAGTAATAGAGTATTAGAGTAATAGAGTAATAGAGTAATAGAATAATAGAATAATAGAATAATAGAATAATAGAATAATAGAATAATATAACAATATAACAATATAACAATATACCAATATAATAATATAACAATTTTTAAGAAATATTTAAGAATAAGAACTTGATAAGACCTTAATAACAATTTTCAAGTGCAAGAACAAAGAAAATACTTGAAATCCGAATTGAAAACTGATTTCTCAAGATACTTCTTGCAGACTTATCAACCTTCCTATTGTTCCCCCTTTAACAGCAAGTAATTCAATGTAATTTAATTTAATATAACTTGATTTCAGAGTAAATCGAGTAATCAAGCGAGAACAATTTAATTAAAACTAACCTATGGAAGATAATCATTTAATTGTTCGCCCGCCACAAAAAATTTATGACAGTATTCCGAAGAGTCTGATCGAGAATTCTCCACATTTCGTCTCACCTTTTCGCATTCCGTTGAATCGGTTCAACAGAAAATCGTGTATGAAAGCATTCGGAAACGATTAATCACATTATTCGAGCTCCGGGAAGACCTAACAATGGAATATTATTGAAAAACCTCGGCTCGCGTTTCTCGCGCACGTCTCGAAGATGTTGCTAGAGAGCGAGCGAATTTTTCACCGAACCGGAATTAGCATTTCAAAAATATTCCAACAATTCTTCGGGTTTATCTGGCCGGCGGCGAGGTTGGTCGGCGGGTCGGTCGGTCGGTCGGTCGGTCGGCGGGGCGCGGTGTGCGGCGCGGTAGCTAAAGGAGAAGAATCTTAAGTAGCCCGCGAAGCAGCTCTCGTAAATTCCTTAAGCCGCCATTTAGTTTCCGGGCGAATTTAACAACGGTACACGCGTATATCTGGCTGGCGTGCGGATTCAATTCTAAAAGGGAAATAATGTAACGCACCGAACAGCGGCCGCGAGAGAGAAAGACCGGCGGCCGCCGGGACCGCCGCGCGGCTCCGTTTCTTTATTGCTTAGCCTTTCAGCCGTGCCAACTCGATGCAGAAAATTCGGCGCGGCCGCCCGCGCGCGTTCTCTGTATAGCCGTGTACACGGTCCCGTTTCAAAGCCGTTCATGAATTCCGGCGATACCTTTACGGCCCTCGTAAATATAAAAAGGGTTACCGATCAGAGAACGGTGTTGTCCGTATCGCGGTGCGCCTCCGCAAAATTATGCGACCGTTTTAAACGACTTACCGCGCGAATTAGTCTGATTACGCTCGCGCGTTCGCGCATTTTCCAGCCGCTCGAAGACGACGTCGACGAGGACGAAGACGAGGACGCGGTCGAATTCGAGCTCGGATCGAATCCGCCGCGTTCAACGTCGATGCCCCGGATCTTATAAAGCCGGCAAGACCAGAACGGATCCCTTAAGAACGCCTCGTAAAACGACCCGACCTCGTAAAAAGCACAACGTTCCATTTACATTTTTCTCTCTTCCACTGGCCCGCACCGTACACCGCCGCCGTCGCGGAAAATTATACGCACGGAAACGAGACTGTCTCCGGATCTTCTTCGTCATAGACTGACACCGAGGCTTCGACCTCTCGCGCTACGATCTCTTTCACGGCTACGTTGATCAGCGATTCTTCGGCGTTGATATTGCATTCAGGGAGCACCGGAACCAGCTGTTTTATATCGGTTTTTTAGAAGTGTGTCGTAAGAGATTTACTCCGAGTTTCGAGAATTAGAGTAATAGGGTAATAGAGTAATAGAGTAATAGAGTAATAGAGTAATAGAGTAATAGAGTAATAGAGTAATAAAGTAATAGAGTAATAGAGTAATAGAGTAATGGAGTAATGGAGTAATAGGGTAATAGAGTAATAGAGAAATAGAGTAATAGAGTAATAGAGTAATAAAGTAATAGAGTAATAGAGTAATAGAGTAATAGAGGAATAGAGTAATAGAGAAATAGAGTAATAGAGTAATAGAGTAATAGAGTAATAGAGTAATAGAGTAATAGAGTAATAAAGTAATAGAATAACAGAATAAAAGAATAAAAGAATAACGGAGTAAGGGAGTAACAGAGTAACAGAGTAACAGGGTAACAGAGTAACAGATTAACAGAGTAACAGAGTAACAGAGTAACAGAGTAACAGAGTAACAGAGCAACAGAGTAACAGAGTAACAGAGTAATAGAGTAATAGAGTAACAGAATAATAGAATAATATAACAATAATATATATAACGAGAATTATCGTAGTGTTTTCTTTTTTCTTCTATTTAGCACTATTTTTATCGATGTCTTGTAACAGATATTTGAAGATATTATTAAATTTAGTCGTTTTCTGTGATTTTATTTTAGATTGTTAATTATAATCGTGTGCTTTGATTGTATTTTGTATTATTACATTCAGTCGTCTTCAGTTATTGTATTTCATATTATTAAATTTAACCGTGTTCTGTGATTGTATTTCATATTATAAAATTTAACCGTGTACTGCGATTGTATTTCATATTATTAAATTCTGTCGTGATCTGTAATCGTATCTTACATTATTAAATTTAATCGTGTTCCGTGATTGTATTTTATATTATTAAATTTAATCGTGTTCCGCGATCGTATTTTATATTATTCAATTTAATCGTGTGCTGCGATTGTACGTTTATGTTATTACTGTATTTTTAGGTTAGTAGTCGTTTTCTTTAATTGTATTTTATATATATATTAGAAGCAAGTTTTATTCATTCCATCCAGCAACTAAAACGCAAAGCTGCGGAAACATTAGAACACACAATCCAGAGAATTTATTTAATCGCGAATTCGATTGAACAAAGTTTCGTAAAGAATGATCGACAAAAGTCTAAAGAAGTGAAAAGGCGGATAATGGAGGAAGCGAAGGAGAACACCTGTCTAATCTAGCTGCGAATAAACGGGGTCCCACAGTTAGATCTTGGATAAGCTTCGGATGCGCAGCCCTCGCGATTAACTTCGGCTATCTCTTGGGCGAACGCAAACATAAACTTTAATTACGTCGAAACTAAGTCTAAATATAGATTAACCAAGTTTCAATACGCGACTGTGTAACGTTACGAACAATGCGTGACATTCGACCGTGTAAGGTGCTCTCCCGCGCGCTCCAGTCGCTCGCTTCCGCAAAGAAATTAACACGGAACACCCCAATTAACGTGCTCGGAAGCCAATTTCCTTCCATCACGACCTAACCACAATTCGGATTCCATTCTATTAACTCAATTTCTGTGCGGATCTCTCTGGAAATGGTTTGCGTTCGGTTTTTTCCGTTGGCTGTACAAGTATTGTCGAACTTTAATTCGCTAATTTGTTATATTTATTGTATTTATTCTATTCATTTTATTTATTGTATTAAGTACATCGAGGCCACTTAGAAAATATGGAAGAATTGTCGTCAGAGAGAACATATAAATTTTCGAAGTATTATATGCTGTGTGTTTAAATTTGCAATAATTAATTTGAGCCTTATTTTTACATTTTTACATAAAGTCAATGACATGTTCTCCAACTATCATAAATTCTGAAAATCCATCCTATTAGCCACAGTAATTGGTGCAGATTTTTTCAGTGCTATGACTATGGACCAGTTACTGAGACAAGTGGAATTCATTTTCGGCACAGGTCACAAAAATCCCGAAAATCGAAAATCCATTCCACTACTCTCAGTAACTGGTCCCAAATTTTTGCTATCCACCTAAGTGGACCAGTTACGGAGACTAGTAGAATTTATTTTCAGGATTTTTGGGATATGTCTGAAAATCAATCCCACTAGTCTCAGTAACTGGTCCACCTAGGCCGATAGCAAAATTTGGGACCAGTTACTGAGACTAGTGGGATAGATTTTCCGAAAAAATGATGGAAACGAATTCAATTTTCTGAAGAAAAAGAATTCCCAAAAATGACATCAGGATCCACCCATTTGGAATGAAATATAATTATATAGATTATAGAATATACTTATAATATAGACCCTCTAGAATTTATCCTCAAAATCCCGTCGAATGATCTCCAGTCCCCGAGCAACAAAAAACTATTACATATTATTAAATCGACAACAAGTAAAAAAACGTCTAACCTTCGTTGCAATTTTGGTTCGCAGGGAGGAATCGTCGCTGACTGCGAACAATTCGATGTCGGTGCAGCTGGCCACCTGGGCGCCGCGCGGCAACGGTCTGGTCTACGTGTACCAGAACAACATCTATTACCGGCCGGAGGCGGAAGTGGCCAAGGACTATCAAATCACCAACACCGGTGTATTCGGGACCATTTATAATGGAGTGCCGGACTGGGTGTACGAGGGTAAGCTTCTTTGCCTTGGAAAACGGTCGCGGGCGATATCCGCTTTGTTATTCATGGAACACTCTATGTATCTAATCGTCTTAGCCGTCGACGGACAGAACGGCGCGCCCCCCGTATCAATGTCCTTCAGGCGGAAAAACTTTCGGCTAAGTCGTATCCAACATTTATGGACACACACCGTTACCGTTACCGTTACCCGTCCGTCAATAAAGCAATCCATTATGCATCGTCCAACTCGATATTTACTCACCGGTCCGCGACGATGTTGCATTAACGCTCGTACTTCCGGACCGACGCTGTCTTCCGACCGGAAACTTTACACGCCGACCGAGCTGCCTCGAATTTACATCGTCCGTATCGATGCAGGGCCATTTTTTGGCTCCGCGTTCTCGCTCCACATTCATCATATTTCATTTTCCTTTTTTAATCGTGTTTATTGATGGCTGAGAAGTTTTTAGGCAGTTGTCCAATGAGCCACGTTTTTTGGATTTGTTTTAGGGTTCTTTTTAGTGTTACGGGGTTTTTATTGTTTTTACTGTTTTTATTGTTTTTATTGTTTCTACTGGTTTTACTAATTTTACTGGTTTTACTGATTTTACTGTTTTTACAGTTTTTACAGTTTTTACTATTTTTACTATTTTTACTGTTCTTACTGTTTTTACTGTTTTTACTGTTTTTACTGTTCTTACTGTTTTTACTGTTTTTACTGTTTCTACTGTTTTTACTGTTTTTACTGTTTTTACTGTTTCTACTGTTTTTAATGTTTTTACTGTTTTTATTGATTTTACTCATTTTACTAATTTCTCTGATTTTTTGTTAAGATAGTAATCAGATTGTACGTGCTTTGATCTTCATCTTAGATCGAAAGATTTACAGTCGACTCTCCGCCTGAAAAATCCATCGTTTCCCAGCCCTGTATTATATACCGGGTGGATAAATTCGAAACGATTCACGTTTCGTACCTCGAACCGAAGCAGCGAAAAATTCGCACTATCATTGAAATCGTCGACGAGCGATCGGGAAAGCCACCCCGTTCGGCTGTCGCAGTTCTTCCGATAGCAGTTTCGCGCTCCGTGCCAAAAATGTGCAACGGCGGCGGCGGTGGCGTCGGCGGTGGCTACAGGATTATTTACGACGTTACTTTCGCCCCGTTCCGTCACTTTCGACCGTCGCCCCTCCCCGCGGCACCGGCGCGCTCTGATGAATTTTTATGCTTCACCCGGCGTTAGCTCGTAGACGGCTCCGCGATTTAGCGAAACACGAGACACGGGGCAGGGTTGTGGGACAGGTGGGCGGAGGCGTCGGCGGCGGCGGCGGTGGCAGAGGGTGAGGGAGAGGTCGACGCGCGGGGCTGATGAGGGCTCAGAAATATGCAAACGCGTGCAACGTCCCCCCGAGCATCAGCTGTGTGAATTACGGCTGCGGCACATATTATTGTTCCCGGTTCCGGGGCGAAAACTCATCCGGCACACGTACAAAGCGCGCCGACGCGACGCGACCCGATGCAACCCGATGCGACGCGACCCTACGTCTCGCTAAAGGCCCCACCAAAAAGAACGGAGAAATACGCGCGGCTCGTCTCGTCGGAGAATCGCGTTTAGCTTTCTTGCTTTCTTTTTCTCTCTTTCTTTCTTCATATTTATCTTTCTCTTTCTTTCTTTCTTTTTCTTTCTATTTCCATCTTGCTTTCTTTTTCTTTCTCTGTCTCTCTTGCTTTCACCTTCTATATTTCTCTCTTTTTCTTTCTCTTCTTCTTGCCTTCTTTTTCTCTCTTTCTTTCTTCATCTTTATCTTTCTCTTTGTTTCTTTCTTTTTCTTTCTATTTCCATCTTGCTTTCTTTTTCTTTCTCTGTCTCTCTTGCTTTCACTTTCTATATTTCTCTCTCTTTCTTTCTCTTCTTCTTGCCTTCTTTTTCTCTCTTTCTTTCTTTTTCTTTTTCTTTCTCTTTCTTTCTTTCTTTTTCTTTCTCTGTTTCTCCTGCTTTCACTTTCTCTATTTCTCTCTTTTTCTTTCTCTTTCTTTCTCTCTTTCTTGCTTTCTTCTCCTCTCTTTCTTTCATTTTCTTTTTCTTTCTTTCATTTTCTTTTTCACTCTTTCTTTCTTTCTATTTCCCTCTTGCTTTCTTTTTCTTTCTCTGGCTCTCTTGCTTACTTTTTCTTTCTCTGGCTCTCTTGCTTTTTACTTTCTCTATTTCTTTTTTTATTTTTATTTATTTTTCTCTCTTTCTTTCTTTTTTTTCTCTTTCCCTCTTGCTTTCACTTTCTCTATTTCTTTCTTCTTCTCTCCTTTTCTCTCTTTTTCCTTTTTCTTCCTCTTTCTCTCTTTTTTCTTTTCTTTTCTCTTTTTCCATAAACATGGATTATAATTGTGAATAAATATTCAATTACATAGCGATGGATTTTATTTTACGCGTGCCTAATGCGTGCATCGCGTGGCTGCAAACGGTTTCCGGACTCGCGTCCGATCGTGTCCGATCGCGTCACGATCCGTCTCGATCGTGAATCCGCGATTTCCGAACTATCGCGTCCCTACAGCCACCGTTTATCCGTGTATCCGTCCGATTGACAACTCGCGGGCCCGATTGAGCTTCACCGATGCGCTGCGCCGTGCCTCGCCTCGCCGCCGTACAGTTGATTCGGCCATTAAAGCAATCAGAGAGGCGTTGGCGGGTTGAAAATCCGAACTGTCGTAATCGACAGACAGCTCATTAGTCGGTCGGCGCGGGGGGCGGCGGCGTGGCGCGGACTTGAGCAGTCAATATTCGATCAAAGGTTCGAAACGCGCCGGGACTCTTCTGGTAATTAACCTAATCCGCGGCTTAGCGCGCGAAGATCGCTTGTGACAGTCGTATCAACAAATCAATTCTCGGGATTCGCCGCGCAAATCCGGCGCAGCCTCGCGCGCGCGCGCGCGCCCCGGTATCACTCGAATCAAAACCGAATCGGGGATGCTCGCAGCGATCTGATATCGTGGAGGCTGTTTCGCTAACGAACTGCATCGGAGTCTGTTCCATTCCCGTGTTATGGACCCGAGTTTAGGCTCGCCGGACCCTTGATCTTTACGCAGAATATTAAAAATATTATACTATATTATTATAATATTATATATTATATATTATATTATATATTATTATATATTATAATATTATAGTACTTAATAATATTTATATTTATTAGACTGGACTAATACGACTGGACAGTCTATATAATATTAATATTTATTATTATATTATTTAATAATACTATTACTATTGTAATATTATATATTATAATATATATTAATTACATATTATATATTTTATATTATAATAGAATATAATATCATTAAAAGAATTATATTATATATTATATATATTATTTATTATTTTTAAATATATATATTTATATTTACTTTTTTATATTTATATTTCATATTTACTATTTATATCCATCATATATATTATTTATTATTACATACAATTTTATTATACAATTTACAAAATTACAATAAATTCTTCATTTTCGTTTCGAAGCCGAGGGTCAATCGTGGAGAATTTACTGAATTCGTCCGCGAACGTTCTCCACGTTTCACGTCCGATATTTCTAAAATACATATCGAAGATCATGGAAACCCCATTCGGAACGTCGAAACAACAGAGAACACAATCTCGCGTGTGTTATGCGAAGAACCGACGCATTCCGATGTCTGTTCGTAAACAACCATGCCTCAATCTCCGCGGGCGAAGCAATAGAGCTGTCGCGCGGCTGGTACAAGCAAGCTCGCAAGACGCCTCTGCAAAATAAACTCTCATCTCTCAGTTCGCCGGGGGTCACGGACCCCGAGCCTTTAATTTGTCAAACTGCTCGAGTGAGTGAGTCCGGGAACTGTTCGCCATAATGCTGGTAATCGCGTTTGACACCGGCGCGCGCTGCGGATCAAAACGCGCGAGCGAAAGGTCGGAGGCCAATTAAAAATTTGCTGGAGTCACGGCAGCGTGCAAAATAATTACGCGCCGATTGAACGGTCGTTGCGCGCTTCATCTCTCCCTTTTAGCTTTTCCTCCCCCCTCTTTCCTTTACTCTCTTAAATTTCTCTTTTTCTCTTACGCTTTATTTTTTTCCCTTTTTCTCTCTTTATCTCTCTTTTTTCTCTTTTTTCTCTTTTTTTCTCTTTTTCTCAATTTTTTTCTCTTTTTCTCACACTTTAATTCTCTTCTTTTTCTCTTTTTCTCCCTTTCACAATTTTTCTCTTTTTCTTTCACTTTTTTCTCTCTTTTTTCTTTCTTTTTTTCTTTCACTTTTGGCTGTCTGTTGTTAGGGAAAAGGAGAGGGGAGTCGCGTTCCGTCCGGGGCCCGCTAGATGACTCATCAGTAGGGCTATCCTAGCGGGGGGCCCTTGCCTTAGACGTTCGGGTGTCAGTAGGAAGGACGAAGTCTGTATATATAGGAATCGAGGCGGATCGGTTACTAGCNGTTGCGCGCTTCATCTCTCCCTTTTAGCTTTTCCTCCCCCCTCTTTCCTTTACTCTCTTAAATTTCTCTTTTTCTCTTACGCTTTATTTTTTTCCCTTTTTCTCTCTTTATCTCTCTTTTTTCTCTTTTTTCTCTTTTTTTCTCTTTTTCTCAATTTTTTTCTCTTTTTCTCACACTTTAATTCTCTTCTTTTTCTCTTTTTCTCCCTTTCACAATTTTTCTCTTTTTCTTTCACTTTTTTCTCTCTTTTTTCTTTCTTTTTTTCTTTCACTTTTGGCTGTCTGTTGTTAGGGAAAAGGAGAGGGGAGTCGCGTTCCGTCCGGGGCCCGCTAGATGACTCATCAGTAGGGCTATCCTAGCGGGGGGCCCTTGCCTTAGACGTTCGGGTGTCAGTAGGAAGGACGAAGTCTGTATATATAGGAATCGAGGCGGATCGGTTACTAGCGGGAAGAGGAGCCATCTGCTGGCGGGTCTGGAGGTAGCCGCCACACACTCTTTAACTCTCTCTCCCTCTCTCTCGCCCCCCTCTCTCCCTTTGTTACTCACTC